TGTGTGTGTGTGTGTGTGTGTGTGTGTGTGTGTGTCTGTGTGTGAGTGTGAGTGTCCGTGTGTCTGTGTGTGTCTGTGTGTGTGTGTGTGTGTGTGTGTGTGTGTGTGAGAATGTGTGTGTGTGTATCAGTTCTGTAGTCGCACCATCTTCTGTTTCTGTTTCTGTTGGAGCTCCAGTCGATCGTTTTGTTTGTTAGATCTGCTTTGTTTCTGTGGTACGTGGTTTTTGTTTGAATCCAAATCAACTGCTTTTGGAGATCCGTCTTGTTTTGTTAATGTTCTGTGAGGAGTGCCGAGGCCGACGATGTTCACGCTATGCAAAATTTGAACATGAGTGCTTGAACAAACCTGATTTAAAAACAGACAACTGAATGAACTAAGAATGCAAATAAAGCAGCTGGAGGCTACAGATCGCCACCTACAGGCGAGTCGCATGAAGGGGAATCTACTGAAGCTGCTCTTCAACTTAGCCTTTTCCAAATAAAATGAGTTTGGAATTATTTTCAAATGATAGAATTTACTTTCATACCAAAGATTATGGGTTAGTTTGTACTTAATCGAGATCATATGTATTTTTCAGATATTTGTAGCCTTTTTTTCCCCTGCCGTCTGAGAGAAAGACTTCAGATGGACCAGGTCTCAGTTCTCACGCTTTTAAAAAGGCTTTCAGGACTGTGCTTAAACACTCTGATGGAGAAACCTGAGAATCTCGATCAGAAATGCTTTCGTTTACGTGTCTTCTGTTCTTGAGTTTGGGACGATGAGCTTGATTTCATGCTGAGTTTAGAGAAGGGATCTAGTTTTCCTGCGTGCTTGCTTTCTTTAACGAAGAAACAGCAGTTCTTTTGTATACTATTCTATTTATTTATTTGTGGGTTTGATATTTATTGTGACTTTCCTGGTTTGAGGCGCTTGAGTTATTCTGCATCTTCTGTTGCTTGCTTCTCGGAGCGTCTCCTTGAGCCTGGTCTCGGATGGGTTTTGCCTTTTTAATTGTCATGGCCTCAGGTAGATGATCTCGGATCAGATGTTGGTTTATCCCTCGTCACGTCACTGCAGGTGTGTAAACGCTCAGGTGCTGTAGAGAACTGAGATCCAGACCTCCTCTGTTTGCAAGTTTTGCACATGAATTTCTGAATAAAAGTACAATCGCTCTGAGGACCAGAAACGAGCATGAAACGAGGAGGAGTCTTGCCTTTTTTGATGCAAATGCATATCTGAGATATTTAAAAAATGAAAAAAAAAAATGCATTATATGAAAAATGAGTCATTAGTGAGATTTATAACTATAGCTTTAGCCGGCTTCATTCGCTGCGGGAGCTTTGGGCTCTTTGACCTTCTCTAGAATCTAGAATCTAAGAGACGCGCACCGATCAATCGATTATGGGATGCATTCTGGGTTTTCGTCTGACTGCAGGGAAACTACCCAAAGAGGTTTATTTGCACTAAAACGGGATCTTTGTGTTGTGAAATATTGTCTTTGCTCATTAGTCGCCACTTACGATTGAAAATCCTCAATATCTTCAAAAAGTCTTTGCATCTTGATTATTAAGTACTTTGCAGGAGTTCTGAATTTGTTTTTTTTTTATGTAAAAGTTCAAGCTGCCTTAGTTTGTTTTGTTTTTTTGCAACTATTCTCAGGAAATCTTGAGCCATGCACTAAGTGGTTATGCAAATGTTTGGTGAATATTAATTTATTGTATATAATTTGTGCTTGGAAATATGAACGCCCTGTTATTAAGTAAAGTTTCTTTACATCTGTCTCTTAAAATGAGTTGTTTATTGATTGAATCGGAGTTGTTTTATATCAGAAGCAAAGCGATGATTGTGTTTGGGGTGAAAGCCTTTAATCAGGGATCTGTGTTCTGTTCATAAACTGAAATCTTTCTCAGCGATGGCAAATCATTTCTCATATTGTACAAATAAAGAGCAAATAAACAAAGATTTCTGTCCAAACAGATTGTGCTGCCTCCTGCTGGTTCTTTCATTGTTTTTTTATCTGTCTGCTGCATGTGCTACTGTTGTGATAAAGATATGCTCGTTAATATTCATCAAGTGATGTCATTGTGTTTTAATTAATATTCATGACAGACGGCTGCTGGGTTTTACTGGTGTTTTTTGTCTCTTTTTGTCAAATATTAATCTTCATTTCATAATTTTACAGTAAATGTACAAAGATAGCCTATTCAAGGCACTGCATTTCCTCATCATATTTCCTCAGATATATTGAATATAATTAAGGTGTATACAATTACTGTATTCAGAAATGTCATGTTTGTTTGTTTTTTTATTTGTTAATTCGTTATTTAAATTAACAGGCCTACATTCGGAAACAGGTGCAGTTAGTCTCAGATATTATAAAAATAGTTTTTGTGAGGAGGACTGGCCTTAAACGCTTTAGACACCACACACTAAACGACTTTAAACACGACTGAGCCCAGCGTTCCCGCCTTACGGAGAGACCCGGATGAAAGTCTTACCGTTACTCGAGGACTGATGGACGGTTCTTTCCCGCGTCAGAGTGAGTTTTTAAAAGTCCGTTTTTTTACAGAATTATGCATTTTCTAACATTGTCTATCACACAACTGGCTACTGACTGGAAACACACGAACTGAGACACTCAGCTGTCAATCAAACTCATCAAGAATTATGCAAAAACACATTTTATTTATTTTAGTATTTGAGATGTTATCATAGTTTTGTAATTGTGTTAAAACAACAATTATTTAACAAATATTATATTTGTATAATAAACTGGATGGGCCTATTCATCAGAGTGGGCGGGCCTCCGCTGGCTCCGCCCCTGCGTAAGTGACGAGTTTTATGATACTGCGAATGCGCGGCGGTAGCGGAAGTGACGCATGGCGCTGTGTTTATCCGTTGGCTGGTCTGTCTGCTCGAGCCGAGCGTCGGAAGTGGAGCGGTTCGGTTCGGTTAATCGCAAACAGAAGCGTAAACGCTACACATCAGATGTCGTTCGGTGTCCCGCACAGCGGCGGGTAAGTGTGTGCTGCTCTGCGGCGGGTAACGGGTCTGACGCGCCGGTAATGGCGGATGTTATACAACAAGAAGAAGCCGAACAAAACCCACACACACACACTCACACACACACTCTCACACACACATATACATATATATATCCCGTAGTGCCGTTTGTAAGTTATTTTAACTCTTTTCTGTCGAAGTGGTTGATGAATCGCGTGAGTCTGAATGTTGCTCTTCATCAGTGGAGTTGTGGAAGTTCACAGGTCAAACAGTGTGAGATCCGTTTGTTTGGTTCTGGAATGATGATGATTCATAGCTCAATGAAATGTGTTGATTTGGGTTTGATTTTCTCACATCAGACAGCAGAACAGTGATGATGATGATGAAGGATAATGTGTGGTTGTGTTTGTCAGCCGGCGCAGTAAATGGGACCAGGCCGGTCCGGGGTCGTCTGGAGCTGATGGAGGTTCTGCTCCGACCGGAGCTCTGGATGCTGCTGCCGCCGTCGCTGCCAAGATCAACGCCATGCTGGTGGCCAAAGGCAAACTCAGGCCATCTCAGATCAGCAGCGCTGCTACCACTGATAAAGTCAGTTTCATATCTAATGCACTGTAGAGTTCTGTATTAATACACACACACACACACACACACACACACACACATGTTGTGTTTCCATGTTTTATGGGGACTCTCCATAGGCGTAATGGTTTTTATACTGTACAAACTGTATGTGCTATTGCCCTACACCAACCCTACCCCTAAACCTACCCCTCACAGGAAACTTTGTGCATTTTTACTTTCTCAAAAAAACTCATTCTGTATGATTTATAAGCTTCTGTACCCGTGGTGACACAAGTCCCCATGAGTCTGTGTGTATTCAGGTTTAAATCCCCACCAGTGTAGAAAAACCTACACACACACACTCTCTCTCTCACTCACACACACACACACACACACACTGAGAGAGAGAGAGAAACAGTCACTGAATAAATCTAATCAACTTTAATAAATCAAGCACGTGACATTTTGCGAAAGTCACGTTATGATTTTACAGATTCGCACATGAAATCAATCGCTTTATCTCGATTACTGTATTTTCATAATCGTTGGAGGACGAAATTGAAACTGTATTTCGATTGATTGCACACATTGCACTCTGACACACAAATCATGGTTCATTTTTTATGATTGATATTTTGATTATGATTGTCCTTTTTTGTGTTTAATATTCTTCACTTCTGAAAATAATTGTTACACTGAGGTGAAAGTGCATCAAATCATTTTTAGTGGACAGTTTCATTATCATGTTTTATTCACTCATCAAAGCTTTTGCTCGTACAGTATTCGGTCTTTGTATCCCCTGTGCGTTCAGTGTTATGTTCATATTATATATATATATGCTAATATTTATTATCATTTTGAATTGGCTTTTATTTTTATGTTAATTTATGATTTAGAATTTGAATGCCATGCTTTTAATATTTGTATTACATAGTTTTAAGGTATTTTTATGTAAGTTTTAGTAGGCAAGACAATTTCTGATTTTCCATTTTTTAAGTTGAAGTTTTTCATTTAATATTTATTTCAGCTTTATTTGAATTAATGAAAAATGTCTTTGTTGCTGTGACGGTGACTGTGGAAACAGTGGAAACACTGCACAGTAAAACAAACAATGTGAATGAATGAAGAATCAAGGACTAACAAACAGTGTGAATATGAGGAGGAAACATGCATGAATAATTACACACAGGACACGTGTGTGTGTGTGTGTGTGTGTGTGTGTGTGTGTGTAGGTGGCAGGTGTTGGTGGTAATAAGGTGAAAGATGATCTGGTGGTGGCTGAGGTGGAGATTAACGACGTCCCGCTAACCTGTCGGAATCTGCTGACCCGCGGACAGACTCAAGACGAGGTCAGACCCGTGTGTGTGTGTGTGTGTGTGTGTGTGTGTGAGTGTGTCTGTCTGTCTGTGTTCTGTCCTGATGTGTGAGGTGTTGATGGTTTTCCACACAGATCAGCAGAGTGAGCGGCGCTGCCGTGTCCACCAGAGGACGCTACCTGACAGCAGAGGAGAAGAACAGAGCGCTGCCCAGGTCTGTCATCACATTCATCTGTTTCTGTTGTTTAGTTCATGATCAGGCTTTCTGAGCTCTACAAACACTAATGCATCACTCTGTGATGTTTCTGCAGTGACCGTCCGCTCTATCTGCACGTCCAGGGACAAACCAGAGACTTAGTGGACAGTGAGTGATGTGACCGACGCTTCACTTCATTCTGTGTGTGTGTGTTTAACATTGCTGTGTGTGTGTGTGTTTGTGTGTGTTTAACATGATGTGAGTGTGTGTGAGTACACACACACACACTCACATCAGCGTGATGCACATGTGCGTCTCATCTTCACACCAGCCTTACCTTGTGTGTGTGTGTGTGTGTGTTTGTGTGTATCTCTCTGTGTGTGTATCTCTCTCTCTCTCTGTGTGTGTGTATCTCTCTCTCTCTGTGTGTGTGTGTGTGTATCTCTCTGTGTGTGTGTGTGTGTGTGTGT